CATCTCCCAGCACGGATGTAATATGGCTCGAGTGGAGAGGAAGGGTGAGAAGTAAGAGGATGGGTGCAAAGGGGGCTGACAAGGGGGACAGTGGCCCATCCGAAGGGTGACAGAGGATCTCCCTTCTCCAGCCACGCTGCTGCAAGGATAAGGACGTTAAAATGCTCCTGCTTGGTACTACACTGTTGGCTTTGCACTCGGTGCTGAGCAGAGTGCTGAGGCTGCTGAACGGCCCAGGCAGATTAAAATAAACCCAAGCAGTTTGGAACGGGAATGTGTTTATCTGGCATCACACACTTCCTCTTATCAAACATGAGGAGCAGGGGAGGGCAAAGCGATGGTGTGCGGAAGCCGCCTGTGTGCACAGTGCTAGGAGAGGGGGAGGGAAAGCCGGAGAAGAACAGCGAGGATCACATCGATAATGCATGAGCCGGAGGACCAAGAGCCTGGAGCGAGGCATCACCTTACCGGCACACGGAGCCCGGCCGCCTGGGCAGCGCCCCGGGCAGGCCGGCGAGGTCAGAAGACACAGTTTGGCCCTCTCTCTTCTGCAGCTCTTGTGGGGAGGCTGGAATCCAGCAGGGCTGCAGCACAAGCAGCTGGCGCTGCGTGTTGCCCAAGCTGCTGGCTCAGGCTCCTCCGCTCCGCTCTGGCTAACGCCGGGCAGTCTCTGGGAGTCACTTGCCTCCCATTCTGGGGGCTCCAGGCTGGCAGCTCAGAAGGGCAAGGCCAGATTCACTCTGTGACAAACAGTACTGAGCATCAGAGGATGAGCCTATTCCCAGCTCTGCCTCCAGTACCCAAGGAGCGCATCACTGCCTGTGTGCCTGACACAGCAAGGGAAAGCTCACTGGAATTAGACACGCTCCTCCGTGAGCGTGTGCCGGGAGCTCCAAATCCCTGCTCACCCACAGCGTTCCTTTAAAACACCGTGGATGCTCCTGAAATCCGCCATCCCTAGCAAATGATCAGATGAGGGCTTCTATGCCCAAAGAAAACGCAACAGAGCAAGTTGAGCAGTTACCCAAGATCAAAACAGCTGAAGAGAAAACCTTGGCGACTTGGAACAAAAGCATTTCTCACCTCCTGGTGTCACCACTAAAAGAGTCTCTAGCTCTTTCCGAGCCCCACGGAAGGAGCAGAGCCAACCACTGCAATAATAGTCTCTGTGGATGCCGTGTCCCCTTTACTCTTCAGGTCCCCGCTCAAAACTCTGCTCATATACCTACCTAGGTACACAGACTGCATCCATACATGCACATGCACATCCACCCTTAGTCCTGGCCAACAGGATTTGTCCTTGCTGTCACAAAAGACCATGTGAGTGGACAGCAGCTCTTGCTGCCCAGTAAGGATGCCAAACTGGCAAAACAAAGTCGACAAAACAGCATAAGATCACAAGCAAGAATAAAAGGTGAAAAAAGGAAAACTCATGGAAGTTCAGTAAGACAGGGATTACGAGGACAAAGTCCAAGCACTCCTGCTCAGCACACTCAGCAAAGCCCCTGAATGCAGAAGGCTTCTCCCAAGAGCCGCGGCGTGAGGCTCGGCATTACCTGGGCTCAGGAGGATGAAGCACATCCTGCTTTGCCTGTCAGAGTTAAATGAGCAAGGATTTATACTCTGTTTCTGGTGGTCCATGAAGGGGATGAAGTTGGAGAGGAAAAGAAAGATGCCCCAATCTCTGAGGTCTGGGATTTGCTTTTAGAGCCATGCATGGAGCAACCAGCCAGCAAACACACCCCGAGGAGCACACAGAGGGCCCAGGATCAGCTTGGATGTTCCTCCCTGCAGCTCCAAACGTGCAGATGTTGGGACGGATAAGTAGCCCCAGCACAGCTGGTAGGACATACAGTGCCATTTGCACCTAAGGTCTTCAAGAGCGAAGCAAGGTGCTATCTCAGAGCTGCCAGGCACGGCCTCCCTTCACATCCCTGACAGCCTCTCATCCTTCTCTCCCAAAGCTACAGAAAAATGCTCCCTCTGAGCAAGAAAGCATCAAAATGTGTAAGCTCGGACAGTGCTCCCCGGGGAAGCTGGCTACATGTTCACATGAGCTGACTACACGTTCAGTCTGCAAGAGAGGAGGGAAGCAGGGACATCTGAGGTTCAGCATCCCAGCTCCAGGAAATGACTTAAGAGTTAAAATAAAAATCATTCTTGGGTGGGCAGCGCTCCAGCGAGATAAAATATTCAGCACCATTATGTTCCCGGACACCGTATTTCTGACAATAAATTTCATGCCTCATATGCCACAACTGTTACGCGATTTCAGTCAATAACCAGAGAGCAAGTCCACATCCTTTCACAGCAATCCAAGGAAAAAAAAATAATAAATATAACTGGGAAACCCAAGGAGGGGATTTTTTTCTAACTGTTATTTACTGGTATGTCACTGTGACAGTCAGACCAGAAGTGGAAAAGGGAAGAACCATTTCTGGCATGGAATCTTCCCCAGCATTTACTGTATTTGGAAACCTGTGGAAACCAGCCGTGGTGGGACCCGCTGTGTGGATGGACACTGAGGTGCCTGTAGGAGGATTGCTCTTGGCTGCCGTGACCGTGTAGCACTTTTCTCATCTCCAGTATCACTCACGTGGGGGCTACAGTGGCTCCTACCAGCCCCTGCTCCCTGCCGGGGACCCTGTGGACGTTTAGCATCTGCCAAGCTAAGAGAGCAACCCCAAAAAGAGAACATGGGCACCTGCCCAGCTAAAATCAGGCTCTAATGATCAAAGTACCCAATGTTTCTTCATCCTTCCTGTCCCACCGGGAGCTATTCCTGATCCACAGTAAGTCTTTGGCACCCAGAGGTGCTGCCAGCTACATGGAGGTTGCAAGTGCAAATGGCTTCTCCTTCTCCCCACTGCCTGCTCCAGGTGGGTCAGGTGGCACTGCAGCTTTGGGAGCCCTTCATGCCTTCATCCTGGTTACAAACCAGCATAACATGGGCTAAGAAGTCCAGATTATCCCAAGGCAGAAGCCTTTACAGAGAAGGAAATGCGGACTGAATTCCAACCTTAGCAGTCAGTCACCCCCCTCGACGGTTCCACCCTGGTTGCAGTAGGACATGCAGTTGCTTTTTAAAACAACTCCTGTCTCAGAGGGGGTTACAGAACCACTTCTGAGATTAAACAGCTTCCACCCTGCAACCCAGATGTGCCTGCGTGCAACTGGGATGACTCCCGGTAAATAGAGCTCTTCACGCTCCAGGATGAAGCACTCTCGGCACGCACGGATCTCACACCACTGAAGCTGTGCTGCTTTGCACCGGCAAGCGACGCGGTCTTTAAGAGAAGTGTCATTCACTTTACATTCTGTTTAAGTATCGAGATTGAATTCCATATTCCAAGTGCCTCCTGTGGTGATCCACAGACAGCCTCTGCTTGTCCTTATTGATGTTTTAACAACTGAATGCTGCACTTTTCACCAGCTTATCTCCTGCTTCAGGTGCTTTTTGCATTCACCAGATACAACAATAGTGTGGAGATCCCTCCCTTCCTTCACTAGCCCGTTCCAGAAGGGGCTTCCCAAGCCTACAACCCTCCTGTAGTCAGTTCATCTTGTACCCATCCATTAAAGCGATGCGTTATTTGCTAGCAGGAGAATTAAGCAGAAGAGGGAAGCACTCTTACCTGTAATTGACTGACTGGCCAACAGGAGTCAAGTGCTAGCAAATTGAATGTGTAATTTCTATTTAAATATGGCATTAAAGAAATGACACAATATACCTATTTATAATGCAAAGGACCAAAATCAAAGCTAACAGGAATAAATTGCAAGAAAGGACATGTGGGAAGTTCAGAAGGTCTTTTGTTTGTTTGTTTGTTTTTTAATGTGCTCCTGTAAAGAATAAGCTGCCTGTTGTCCCTATGCACTGCCTGGAAGACTTCCATTCGCGGGTCTAAGACCTTGCTGACGTGCAGAGCGGCACTGCAGGTCCAATTAAAAACATTTGCTAAAACCAACCCGGTGCGGATGCTTTTCATGCTGCACATCGAGTTCACACCAATTGAGTTGAAGTTAAATTGGAACGAAAGCAAGTAAAACCCAGATTAATTATTCCAAAGCTCAAATATGAATTTGAACGAATGGCTGAACTTTGAACAGTTTTGCAGCTCTTCAATTAAACTCATTTTAAAGTGCACTTAACGGAAAATAGTGCTACTTCTTGAAACTACTACTTGAAACAACAGATTACAACCAACAGCATAAAACATGATCAACTCTGCTGAAGCCAACACAGTTACACTGGTGTGAGTAACCCAAGTAAGAGACCCATAAATCACTGATATCAAAGAAGAAAATGCCACCATTGGGTGAAAATACAAATATCCTCCACACTTCTTTCTAAGCCTGGGGCACCATACTTACCACGCCGCAGAAGCCTGTTTTCTTTAGAATCAAACCACCATAACCCTAATTTCAAATTATTCCATTCGAAAGAAATCAGAAGGAGAAAACAGGGAGGGTCTCAAAGACCCTTCAATCCCCACAGCTAATATCCCATGATGAAGCCAGGATAAAGACCCAAACCCATGACGAAGAGCCAACCCACAGCCAGGAAGCGAGAGGCCGCCAACAGCACCAGTAACAGGGTTTTGTTTCTGGCAAATTTTACCTACAGTGTGCATTTAAAAACTCAGATTTTCTAACAGCATATTACACATGGACCACCTGCAATCCCTGCAGGAACAGTTAGTTGAATTTAAGATACGTTTGGCGTGTCAGAGAGGAAAAAATCCATAGGAACATGCTCCGATAGCAGTGACATGCAGCAGTGAAGAACAGGACAGACAGGTACAGAGCAGACACACTCACACAGGCACACACTCAATAAATGCATCAAATGGCCTCGCAACCAGAAGGAGGGAGAGCCACAATCCTGCACAAAGAACTGAGAGGGGGACTTATTACAAGCAGTCAGGCAGGCGATTCCAGCAGATGGGAACACTCATTGCCACGAGGAAGGCAACGCGGGCAAAGGAAGGAGAGCTTACCCCTCTGAGCTGCTGGACTCCACCAAATATCCTCATCACTCCATCAATCTCCTGCTCCAGCCTCCTGGCCCAGTACTGCATACTGCAAGAGAGAGACAGGGACAGAAAGGGAAAGGGAGAAAAGGAAAGAGAGAGTCAGAGCCCCGGCATCAGGAGATGAGCAAGATCACCGAAGGGAGAGGGAGGAGAGCGGTGCCCGGGGGCAGCGTGCCGAGAATCAGTGCTGGGGCGTGCTACGACCATAAGACCTCAAAAAATCTATGCACAAGGTGCCAGAGAGAAAAGGTGCAACAAAAATTGCAAGGTGCATAATTTCCATCACCCCCCTCCTCAAGTAATCACCCGCCAATGCTGTTTATATTAGGCCCGAGCGTTCAGCCAAGGCCAAGGAGCTGTGGGGCCTCGCTGCTGGTGCAGAAGGAAGCTTATTGCTTCTTTCAATGACTTGGGCAGCTCTGCTGGGGGCGAAGCTGTTTCCTAGGACAGTGGAAAGGGCTGGGAATTGCAGCATGTAGGACATAGCACGTTCAACCCAGTGCCTGCACAGCAAGGGATTCCTCTGGGACCTGCACTGTGGCCGGTGCTCCCAACGGGCACAAAATGTTCTCACAGATTTCCACTTGCAGCAACACCACCACGCTGAGGCAACAGCGGGGCCAAAGGCTCTTCTAAACCCACAGAACTTCTTATATTACACCCCGAACATTAGCCCTCCTGCTGATGGGGCTGCCAGGCTCCAGCCCTCGGCCATCAGAACATCACAGAACATCACCCCGCTAGCTCGCCCCGGCGCGCTTACTACCCCAGCTGGAGCTTCTTCCACAGCCCCTCTCATCTCCCAACGCTGCTCTGGAGAACACAGGCCAGGAGTAAGACTTGGAGCTCAGGGAAACCAGGGAGCCCGCAGCCTGGAACCATGGAGCTCCCTTGGTCCCCCACCGCCTGCTCCAGAGCAGAGCAGCTCTCCCAGCACACAAGGAAAGTCAAGGAAATGGAGGGAAGCGGCTACGAAACACGACCACAGAGGACTCGACCGAGTTATCCAGCGCTGGGCACAGATATAACGGCAGAGCCGTTCCCAAAACCACCACCGCCTTCCCACGGAGCGAGCGGAGGCTCACTCGGGAGCAGCGGGGGGACACGAGCCAGAAGAGAAGGGACTGGCAGCCGTGTGTTACTCACCCAGGCAACGACCATGCCAGTCAACAGCATCCGAGGCTGCGGATGAAAACAAGATTTAATTGCACACGCCAAATCTTCCAAATAAGCTGTGCTGGGAAGCGCCGTCTCCAACGCAGAAAGCAGCAAAGCCACCTCTTTTCTGAATATGGGACAGCAAAGCCTTGGGGACTGCCAACGTGGTGCCTGAGGGCCACAGTGGAGCTGGGTGAGCGTTTTTTCCCAGTCTTATTTTAGTTGGCACCCAAGCTTTATTCAGGTTGGCCAAAATGACTCATAAAATTACTTCTGTTTTCAAAATGTATAATTTCAAAAATACTTAAGTCATGCTTTTAAAAACTAAACTCCCTCCCCCCCAAATGAAATATTGTTTCCAATTTGCCCTGTGAATGCAGGAAGATATCAATCTTGGGCTCACACTCAGGTCCAAGGGATGTTGTAAGGACTGCACGGAGCCGGCACTTCTGCTTTCATTCTGAATTGCAGGGGAATTTGCTCTTACTGCAAAACTCGACGCACTTTAATTGTGCCAGCCTGGGTCAGATGTTACCTGGCCTCAACCTTACCGATTAGAAGCACTTACTGAAGACTCAGATAATCTCACAGAGTAGGGCTAAGTCTACCAAAAAAGCGTGTGTCTGCCCGTGCTTCTGCACAACTGATGCCAGATTTCCTAAATTAAATAAGTAATAGCAAAAGCAGTTTTTTCCCCCGCCCCCAGGATAGTCTGGCTATACAGTGACTCCTGCCAGACGCGGAAAACATCCCTTTTTCTAACTAGCACATCCTTTGCCAGCATCCCACCATTGGCAAAAGCCTCTGCATATACCTGACCTAAGCTCATTTCACCGTTACTATATCACTATATTAGTAGCATCCGTGCCTGGAAATGCTCCGAGCGGGCTGCATCCCGGAATTGGGAGTTTTCGTCTCTCCTTTGCCAAGAAAGGGAAAGGAAGGCGGGGGAAAGCGGGATAAAAGCCATTATTGTTCCACCTCGGTTGACCTTCTGCCTCTTGCTTCTCTCCCACGGCTGCTGCACTTAAAATTTTATGGAAGAAGGCTATAGCGAGGATGAAAAGGGTAAAGAAACCACGAGGCCGAGGTACATGGAGATTTCACATTGCAGCAAGTCTCATACGGAGACCACAGGCAATAAGACCTGACAGTCATTGCACTGCACAGCTCGAGTGGCCTTACAGGGACAGAGGGGCAATAACTCCTCCGAACACACGGCCCCGACTGCCCTCCCGCTCTTGTGAAATGGCACGGCCGGATAAAGCAGACAGAAAACAGCTGGTGCTCATGCCCATGCACCCTTTTGGGATCCACGGGAAAGGCTCTTGCATTGGACAAGTGGATTTGTTCCCTTCCCTTGTATATTTTATAATATCCCGCGCAACACGTAACAGGGGACACGAGCCATTTTGGAAAACACGGCATCATTTATCATCGTCTCTCCAAAGAAAACTGCAAAAATGCTAATTGATTTCATAATTTGCATATTTGATTTTTGTTAAAGAGGAGATAAAATAGGCTCAGAGCCTCAAAACTCTTTGGTTGATGAGAGGCACAGGAGGACACAAATCACTGCTGCAAAAGGGCTCCCTGGCCCGTTCCCGCTCAACGGGCACCTCTGCTCGGCCACTGCTGTGGCCATGGAAAGACTCACGTAGGCATAGGGCAGGTTTCTGGCTTTGGGTGGAATTAGGAGGAAATTTCTCATTCGGCTGTGGAAAAGAGATGATGTTAAAAAAAGGAAGACCTAGGCCTCTTCTCTTGCTGCCTTGCTGGCCCGAAAAGGAAGGGAAAGACTCACGCAAGAAGAGGACCGACCCCTTGCTAAGTGGACGCAGCGCCCCGGAGCTCACTGAGCGAGCGCTTGCTGCGAGCGTCCACGCTTCACGCAGCACGTTCAGCCAAGAACCTTTCACTCTTACTCACACGCTTTGGTTCAGTGCCCAAATATTGCTGTTTAATAAGGTCATTAATTACTGTGTTGCCTAATTTTTGCTGGGCAGGAACTTCTTTTAATTGGCTGATTCCTTCAAGATGCTTAAGCCTGTGTGTGCTCATGTGCGCATGTAGGTGCTCATGATGCCCCTCTGAATATTCTTCATTTCTTACATACCTAGGCTGGAAAGTGTCACATGAGCTAATATTTACATGTCAAGCAAAAGTAAGTTACTATTTTCTTAAAATGAGACTTCCAGACAGTACCATCTTCTAAGCAAAATAGCCAAATAAGTTATTGCTTCTAGACATTACCAAGCCTCCCGCAACACCATCATTTCATGGCTCCTTTTTCACCTAAAGGATTACACAGGTATTTATAAAGGAGGAGCAGGAAAAAAATCGCTTGCTGGACTAGTCATTTCTTAATATTTGTCAGAATATTATTCACCTCTCCCACCTAACCTCCCTTATAATGATGTTTAATAATCCAACAAAGCTGTGCAAGAAGTGAGGGGAAATCAGACCGATAGTAGAAGAATTTGTGTCCCACTAACAGTTTTCTTGAGTACAGATATTCCCCTAGGTATCAACGGGAACACAGGCATCAACCAGCAACTTGTCACCAACTAGGTTTAAGGCAATAGGAAAAGATATTCTTCAAATACGGTTTCTGTTTCGGGCAACAGAAGCACTACTCAGAAGCTGAGCCCCATCTGTGGGGAAAGAGAATAAAAATGAGATCTTCAATCAGTCATTGAAATGCCGGCTGCCAGGGGCTCCGGGAATTCTTCAGCTGGGACACTTGAACACCTAGGCCTTCCATGTGAGGCACTGGGTCCAACCTGTTCCTTAAAGCCATCACTAGAGGCGATCCCAATGCCCTTAGAGTACCTTTTTCTTTCCCAGTTTGTCCCATGTTTTGTCAGACGGTTGAAATTTCCTCTTCATATTCACCCTAAATCTCACTTCTCTCTGCACTTATTGGCTTCTCTCTGCACTTATTGCACAGGACGTGAAAACATCCAGTTTGTTCTTCTTTAGCTTAACCTCCAAGGCCTGGAGAACATTATGTTGTACCTCTCCCACTTCAAGTCCTGTCTGCTCCAAACCACCTCAGGTTTCTCCAGCTTTTCCCTTTTTGCACTGCTTTCTAAACACCCCATCATTCTTGTGACCTTCTCTGAACATTTATGACCTTCAAGACTCATGCCAAAATCTAGGCCAGTTGCACCAGCAGAAGTCAAACCCTGTGTGAGGAGGAATAAGGACCATATCCCCTATTCCATTGCCTAAGTTATTAATTAAATGCTGAACAGAACTAGGTTCATCAGGGCAGTTCCCTGCAGGGCCCCCTTGAGATGTCCTCCCTGAACGACAAAGAACCAGGATAGCTGTTCTTTGGGAGCTGTGTGTCCAACCAAAATATCTTGAATTCCAAACTTTACAAAAAGCTGCCTTTGAGTATTTGATATGTGAAGGAGCTGGAGGCCAAAGGATAATTCAGTGAATAATTTAAAGAATAAGAGTAGGTTGGAGGAAAATCACAATCTGCTTGTAGAGGATTTGCCGACAGAAAGAGGAGAAAGTCACTGAATGTGTTAGCTGGTGCATTTGCCCAGCAGTAGCGCAAAAGGCCCCCACGCACTCGCTATATTCTTTTGATCAAGCTCCTGCACATGCTTCTCGTTGATACAGCAATAAAAGGAACAAATGGCAAAGCAGTCCCAGGAAATATCTCCTGCAGACAGTGACGCAGGGAGGAGAGCTTTCCCCAAAAGCACTTTCAGATGTTGACTGTGAGGGTGACAGAGCCCTGGCACAGGCTGCCCAGAGAGGCTGTGGAGGCTCCTTCTCTGGAGATCTTCAAGCCTGCCTGGATGCCACCCTGTGCCCTGTGCTCTGGGTGTCCCTGCTGGAGCAGGGGGTTGGACTAGATGATCTCTAGAGGTCCCTTCCAACCTCAACCATTCTGGGATTCTAGGACTCCACTAGGCAGCTCCTCCTGTCCTCAATGGCCTAGCGCTGCTCTGTAGACCATCCATCAACACCAGCCTAGGAACAACACCAGAACCATAAAGATCCCCATGTGAAAAACCACAGGTACATTAAAAAAGGCATAAATTAAGCCCCTCTCTCCTGGAGATCCATGTCCACCACCGCCTACCACTGCAGGGATAGAGACGGCTTCTGGGAATGAGAATCCCAGAATGATTGACGTTGGAAGGGACCTCTGGAGATCATCTAGTCCAACCCCCCTGCTCCAGCAGGGCCGCCAGCATCACTAGTTAGCCCACACACTCCGATGTCTCCTTGGAATGCAGCAAGCAAGGCTCTAGGGCTGCCACACAAGCCAAATAAGCCCAAGGCAAGGGCCACCCATTCCTAGAGCTGTATTTTGTCAAACCAGCAAACTACCATGCAAAGGAATTACCGCCTTGCTTTGGAGCCAAAGCTAACCGTAAGCTTCGCTCTGCCCGTTCTTACACGGCCATGATTTTTTGCTCTTGTTTTACATACTGAAACCAGATTTCTATCACACGCTTGCTGATGCGCATCAGGAGCGGCAGAAGCCCGTGGGGTTCTCCCATGTTTGCGCTCTTATCACATAGCATTAGACCTGCACTCCTCCTCTCAGAGCCTGTCACAAATTTGGACTTGAAACATAATGAATTAATAAAGAAGCGAATAGGTGTCAGTTTTATTAAGCACACTACCTGGATAAATTTCACCCAGTGCAGCCACTTGTCATGTTCGGCATCTCGGGAGACCCAGCCGCGGATAATTCCTGCACGCTGCTTTGCAACCCGCTATAGATAAGTTTGAAGATTAAACACCTTCCTCCTGGCTGACGCCTCCTGCGTTTTACAGATGCAGCCTGAGCGGAGGAGATGCCAGCCCCCACCGTGGAGATAGGGTTACAGAGGGTAGGTCTTAGTAAGGATTTTGCAAAGTGCATGAATTATTGAAAGCCTTTATGATATAATGACAGACATATCAGGTTATTTGTTTATTCTGTGTATAATTCATGACTCCCTCAGGGGAGAGACAGAGCAGTAGGGTAGATTGTTGCATCTTCTTGTTCATTCCAGGAAATCCTCAGCACCAGATGGAGGCCTGAACTACCCGAACAGACCATAGGACTGTTCCTAATAGGATCTGCACCTTCATTTGCGGGTGGGAGACATTTCTTCACAGCCTGAAGAGCTAACAAAGTGGTCATTTGACTATATCAGAGATGGCTAGAACAAGAGAGCTTGAGTAAGTCTGGCCCAGATACAAAGCAAAGCCTCACATAGCCTTGTCCTGGTGGCTGGAGTGGAGTTTTAGGTGCTTGTATTGTAACCACCTCTCAGGACATGCTGTTCAGAAGACGTGGCAGAGATCTTATGCTATAGTGGCAAATAAAGCAGTGGCCACAGCCTCAGGCAAGAGAGAGCTTCCCAAAGGGATCTTGCTTGCCCAGGAATACCTGGCCCAAAGATGTTGTGGCTACCAGAAGAGCCATTCTAGTCAGAAACGCTGTGGAGAAACACAAGGAAGGCAAGGCTGAAAATGCAACTGGGGAACCCTTTCCGGCCACAGGACGCGGGAGGCCTCCTTTCAGCATCCAGCCCTCCAGGGCGATTCAGCTAATCGGGATTGGGCTAAGCCAGCAATGATGGATCAGATCACTAACATACAGGCTAAACGAAGGCATCTCGTGGAGGACTAAGGGCTAGCTGGGCCTGTGGTGGCTTTGTGCCTACAACTCCTCTCCGTTACCAAGCCAAAGCGCCATTAGCCCCTGCCACACAGGACCTGCTGCTACAAGAGCTTTTTCAGGGCCTCTAATACCATTATTCCTCGTCCTCTAAACATGCAAATCCCAGGTCTGCTGGGATGTTCGGTCATGGAAGCGCTCGCGATGCTTCCTCAGGGCCTTTCCCGCCGTCACTGTCACTAGATGCCTGTCTACTTAAACCCCCCACCTTAAACAACTCCTCTGCGATTCCCCCACCTGAGAAGCTCCTGGCTCCTAAGAGACAGTGTTGTAATCATTGTTATTATAAAGCACTTAGCGCTTCTCACTCATCGCATCTCTCACCAGCCAAACACCCAGAACCCTGTTATTTCACACGCAGTCGCCTTCACTTCCCCAAGCTGCTCATTGTATTGCTCCTTTCCAGCAACGAAAGCAGAAAGGGGGTGGGGATGGAGAGCATTTTGAAAAAAAAAATAATTTACTGCGTTTTATGCCATTACCTCACTCCTTGGTAACAAACACCTAAAAGCTGCACTGGTGGCATCCAGACACATGCTGAGGTGGGATGGGGGATAGATGGAGGCTTTGCCCTGCTGTTAAGGGCACTATGGGACCGGGGAGGAGGCTGTCACCTTTCCCGTGTCACCAGCTCCTATCCCCAGCCCTGCTCCTTCCATAGGCAGAAGCAAATATTTCCAGCTCAGCCTTTGAAAAGGAGGATAAGCATGTAGGATTTGGTGGATGTATGCAGAAGGCACCACCGGATTTGCCATAGAGGCCCAAGACATTGGCCCCTTGGGATCAGCGTCCCCATGGGCAGAGCACCCAGCTTTCCTAAAGGGACTGACCTATGGGATCCAAAGAGGCTGTACAGAAGCAGAACAGCATCCCCAAAGCTAGAGGTGTTTTATGAAGCAGCGGCAGGATTACAACGCCCAGGCTCCCGACGCCGAGCTGGATGCCCACACTCGGGTCAAGCAGCCAGGCAGGACGGGCGCGTATGGACCAGTGCAACGGGGCCCTTCTCGCGGCCCTCGCGCACCACGCGCGCAGCTGAAACCAGAGATTGCAAGATAATTCGCTTTTTGGCTTTTATAAATGAGCACTGACACTAAAATCAAAAACATCGGGCATCTAAAAATCCAGTGAGTATAATAACCAGGACTCTTTTTCTGTAAAAGATTTAATAAAAAAAAAAAAGAAAGTCTTTAATGTGGTCCTCTCAATGGGTCTTACGACATCACCAACCCCTTTCTATTTAGAATAATGACTTCTTCCACACACCAAGAGATTTGAAATTACCTGTGAAATATATTTCCCTAGGCACGGGCTCAAGAAGCATGTAAATTACCCAGCTTAATGGTCTCTAGAATTCCTCTCTCAGACACACGCACGGAGCGGCGAACGTTCAGATGATATCTCAGATAGCCTGCAAAGGGGTAAACACCCGAGCCATGGACAGGAGCTGCTGCAGTTCCCCCAGCCACTGCTCCCACCAGCAAGCGGTTGCCTCGAGGAGGCAACGAGCACCGAATGAGTGCACCACCAGCATGAAAATGCCATTTTAAGTGGAGCATTTCTTGGGCAAGCTGCCTGGCAATAATTCACACGGCACGCGTGGCCAAAGGCATGAGGGCATTTACGCAGGAGGCACCCATTTCATTCCCAAAATCCTCGTGCTGATGCACACCAAGGATTTGGCAGCAGGTTTTCCCACCGACCTCTAGAGCACACTTTAATGGCAGGAATATCGCCCTGCAGGCCCGTTATTCCAATGGCAACAGAGGGGAAGGCATTCCTCCTGGAGCCCTGGCTACATTGCATAGTATTTCATAGCACGTTTCATTGAATTTAAGGGCTTGTTAGCGGGAGAAGCACATTCCAGGACAAAGAACATGGGTTTGTTCAAAGGAACGGATGAGCAGGAATTCCATGATCCAGTATCTATTTCCTGCCTCACTGCTGACATACCTGAGTCCTGGAAGTTCTAGTTCCATCTGCAAAAATGAGCAATGGGAAAAAAAGTGCACATTAAAAAAAGGCTTAAGGAGGGAAGAGCAGAGAACAGGAGAAGATGCTCACACTGCAAAGGGGTGAGGGACAACCACGGCTTGAAGGGCTCCATTAGGACAGAATCCGTCTCAGGGAAGAAGCTTGGGCACAGACTGCCTCAAGATTGGCTCCTGGTGCTTGCCAGCACTGACAAGCTGCTCATTTAGCTTGTAGGTGATAACAAGTAGGCCAGAAGATCAACTGGGGATAAGAGAACAACGGCAAGATGGGCCCAGCACTGGAAAAGACGGGCCAAATTCCTCTGGTGTGGATTTCCTCTCAGCAAAGGCATAACTTAAGGCTTTCAGAGGCTCTTCCTGCCTTTAATCTCTGTCACAAGCATCTTGCTGACCCATATAGTGACAGAAGCAGGGGCATCGCAGCAAGATTAACACAGAGGAATTTCAACAACAGAAATTCAAGCTGTCTTCCTCATTCTCAAGCATGCTACCAAAACCCCCAAAATTTCTTAACTCTGCAAAGGCATCTGTGTTGAAGATGAACTACAGCTTGCAGCCAATAACCCAAGCACTCTGCTACGCAGAAACTTTTGGGAGGT